ACCCGAAGGGTGGACTAGTATGAACCAGAGGTCAACGATACCAACATAGCTCTCGACCTTCATCTTATCTCGGAGCACCGATAACAAGCCTTCCTAAGGGCGGAGAACTACCGGAGACAGGTAAAAGGCTACATCGACGCCAAAATCCATTCTAGAGAATTTCAAGTGGGGGACTATGTCCTCCGGAGGAGAGAAGCTAGCCAACCAACCGAGGGCGGCAAAATGGCGCCGAAATTTGAAGGCCCCTACATCGTAGCAGCCATCATCAAACCTGGAACGTATAAACTAAAACGCCCCAATGGGACCGAGGTCCCTAGACATTGGAATGTACACCACCTGGTCAAATTCTATCAGTAACATATGAGCGGCTAAGCCCTCATAACATACGAATGTATTTATCCAACGACCCAAGCCCCCCTACTTTCACGAATAAATACATATTGAAGACACCAAGCGCCAAGTATAAGGCACACATGAGCGACTAAGTCCTCATACAAGCCCCCGGCCCAAGGCCTTGTCTCGCGATGAAGAAACGCCCCAACCTAAGTTATTTCTGGCTTCGGCACAATGACAGGAACCCGGAAATGTAGGAGTGGCTGTTGGGGGTCAGCTGACAGCGGGCCAACCCCACAAAACTAAGGTACTCTAATAGGAATGGGTGGAGTGGGAACCGAAGGCCAAGCTCCACGAAAAGAATGTGGATTGAGAAACAACTTGCAGGGGGGTTGGATAGTAAATCCTCAGGGCCAGGTTCCACCACTTGTGACGAGGGCACCACGAGGAATTGAACCGCCTGGTAGTCAGCGCTCGTCGCCTTCGTCCTCAGATCAAGCACGGCGGTATTTAAGTAAGAGTGCCCTTCGGGGATACGTACCGGCTGCCCAACATCCACGACAGCTTGTTTCTTTTTGGGGGCTACCCCCAACTTCTTTTTCCCCGGAGCAACCCGTAGCGGTTCAGGGTTGAGGGGCCGGGAGCTTCCGGCCTCGGCATCATTTTGGGGAGGCAGAACAACAACGATGACTTTCATCCTCTCCATCTCCTCCTCTTCCTCAGCGACTTGGACAGCAAGGGCCGGCTCTTCATCCTCGTTCACCTGCTCGAAGTCTTCGGCCTCTAGTTCAACCCGAAGGTTGTCTTGCACCTTCTCAGCTACGAGTGAATCATTGATATTCAAAAGCTGCTCGCTGGAGGACTCCATGTCCAAAATGCTCTCAGGGTGCACTGAGGACTCTCCCGATATGTCCTCTGAATCACTCCCGGAAGACATACTATCAGAAAAATCCTAAGGGCTCTAACACTAGACCTCAAGGGAAGCAAGCAAAAGATGCTAAGGAAACAAAGAACGAGAGAAGAACTGACCTCGAAAGTGGGGTTTTGATCGAAGGTACTTGTTTCTCTCTTTAGAAATATTTGGGCAGAGCTTCGCTTCAATGAATCGCGCAAGGAGAATGGCTGGGGCTCTGGGGTATTTATAGCCTCCCCTTTACGGGCTTGGGCCGTGATTTGGGCCCCCAATTTAAAAAGCCATCATTACGGACCGCCGCATCAACCAACCGGTGATGCCCGCCCGAATCCAGCCAACAGGAGCATGCCACGTGTACCCCACCTATAACGGTCATATTTCAACAGTTATATCTCAACGGTCAAGTCCTAACGACTAGTTTTGACATCTCATGATGCCCCCAGCATACACCCTTCAGGAGAACAACAAGCAAGCCCTCGGGACAACACATTCAAACCCCCTCACCAAAGGTTAGCCCCCAACAGGAAGATCAGGAATGACCCCTCCATATCTGTGGACTTGGGGATACCCCCTCGACAAACACCGCCCTCATATGAAGACGGCCCTCGAGTTTTCAGGCTACTCTCCACAAATTGCGAATGGCCCTCAACCTCATCATTGTCCTTCATTTCAGACCGAAGGGTTCACCTTTTTACTTCATTATGGGGCACCCGATGCACTCTTTTTTCCTCATTAGAATTTTTTCCCACAGGGTTTTTCCTAATGAGTTTTTTAACGAGGCATCTCCCAAAACGAAACAAAAACGTCAGCCCTCAGCCTCTATACTAAAAACAAGCACTGCTCTACTCCTTTCTCACCACATTACATGTGCCTCAAGGAGTGGGGGACTGGAAAACCCCTTCGGGGAAATCATAAAATGTTAAAAGTTTATCAATATGATCCTTCAGTCCCAAAATATGGGGGACTGAGGGACTGCCCTCGGTAAATCACGCAACACAAACCCCTCATTACTTTACAAACTACAACGAAGCAAACATCGGCACCAGAGGACAAATGCAAATTACTCCTTTTCCCTCAAACATCTTTCGACAAAAGGAGTGAGGGACTCCTGATGGAGTATATGGACCAGGGACCCCCGGCCCACAGACTCCTACTACTTTAACACAGGCCCAACAGGCCCAAAGAAGCACATGAGGCCCAAAGAACAGCCCGCAGTACACATCTGGGTGCCTTCGGCCCCATGGCCGAGGGCTCCTAAATCTCACATGACAGCTGATTTTAGGCATACAAGCCCACTGGGAGAAAACAATGGAAATCAGGAGCCTTCGGGTACACGGAGCCCCCGGCTACAGGGGAGCCTTCGGCTACCCAGAGAAACGTCGGAGATCCCCTTTGGAGACAGGCAACAGCCGCATTTAATGCGACGTCACATCCACCCACCGCATTTAATGCGGTGCACATGCGTATGTCGGTGCCATCCCGAATCCCGATTGAGGTGACCCATCAACCGCTAGATTGTTGACACATGTACTCTTATCGCATTTATGGCTGCTATAAATAGCAGCCCATTCCCCATTGTAAATCATCACAAGTTCACATATTCAAATACACTTTCTCTCTCTTACTTGTTACTCTAACTTCTCTTTAAGTTATTCCCGTAATAACCCCTCGGATAAGCTACCCCCGGATACACTATCCATCAGTCATAATCGGTTTATCCAATTAAAATTTACCTCTTAATAAAATCTTAAAGAAATTGAGAACTTTTTATCTTTTTACGGAAACCTAACTAATACAGCAAGATAACTAGTTAACTACGGTACAGAGTCAAAGAATGAGACCACGAGATGTGGAAACAAAATCGGCAAGACTCGCGTTCACTGTCTAGTGTCTATCTAAATAATGGCATAGTACTACTTACTATATCTAAGGTCAACAAAAACAATTTATTTAAATAATGGCATAGTACTACTTACTATTTCTAATTTTTTTTGAAAGAACTATCAAAAAAAAAATTGAATGAATTTTGTACCGTTGGCATACAATGTGCATGTTGACAACATTTTAAGACCTGGCTATTGAGTTTAAGATAGGTGTAAAAACTCTTCATTGGCATAATACCTTAGAAAAACATTTATAAAAGTTATAGTTTCAAAGTGCTTTTATATGTGTTGGTAAAAAATAAGTTAGAAACAAAGAGCAACAACAATTTAGTTCACTGAAAATAGTGTAGTGATTCCAAAGGAGTTGATGACATATTTTTAAGCGTTTACAACATATTCACTAATTAAATGCTAACATTAATGGGTTAGCCAGGCCGATAACGAACCGTGTTATGGTCCCGGTTAGGCTACACTCGTGTATAACGGGCCGATAGTATCCATCCGGCCCATTATCCAACATTTGAATGCTTGAATATTTGAATACGGAGTAATATTTTATAAGCCCATCAGATATGCACTCATTTTTTATGTGTACTTGTATAACATTAATATCATAAAACATACTCCATCCGGTCTTAAATAAACTTCACACTTTCCTTTTTGGGTGAGTCCAAAATAAACTTCACACTTCTTCTCCCTTCCTTATTTGACATATTATCTACATCAAAACAATGCAAAATAGTGTCAAACAGTGCCAAACAGTGTCACAACAGTGTACTCTACAGTAAAGTCAAATTTATTTCCTTAATTTGTGTGAAGTTAAAGTGTGAAGCTTATTTAGGACCGGAGGAAGTACTAGTGTTATTGTAGGGCAACATCCGTCGTGATCAATTTCGTTTCATTTCCGTTTTATTTAATCAACAAGTTTTCTATAATAGTTTATATATTTCGTATATCGGTATATATAGTATAAAAAAATTTGCTTAATTATCAGACAAGTAGGCTTTTCTTTTTATCATAAAAAGCGGATGTTATATTAAAATCGAGACAGAATTTACGGATCCAATCGTGAACCCTAGGAGTAAACTCTGAGTCAGCCACATCATACAAAGCAACATGACTCGCTAAATTTGAAACGGGCAAATTTAGGCCTAAATCGATCAGAACCGAAACTCTGTCTATCAAAAGAACTTCAAAAATCCAAACATTTAAATCAAATCTACTCGGAACAAAACAGAAACAAGTGCTACTAAAGAAAAAATAATACTGAAATAAAATCTTTTGACAAAGCTCTTCCTGCTATGGAAGTGATTCCAGATGAGGACAGATTCTTACGATATGGGTGAATACCAACTCCACCACCGTCGGAATGGCCCACCAATGCTTCACGATCCCGTCTCGATATAACCTTCTAGCAGCATCTTGCTCATCTACCAATGCTATTTCCTACGACGTAGTTGCAATCCCAAGCGTTAGAGCAATTAAAATAAGTATAATCTACCGCTCCACCCCATATTGATAGGGGCGGTTGAAAATCTCAACCCTATAAAGAGGGGAGATGACCGCTGGTATTCCTCTCTCTACTACTACCTCCGTCCCTTAAAACTTTGCCAAAGTTGACCGCACGGAGAATAATAATGTAAAAACTGTGTGGTTGAGATTTGTGCAGAGGAGAGAGAAAAAACAGAAACCACAAAATAATTGATTAAAAGGGAAAGTGACAAAGTTTTTTGGGACGTCCCAAAAAGGAAAGATGACAAAGTTTTAAGGGAGGGAGGGAGTAATATATTTTTTTTAATTTTACGGATTATTATTTGAGCTTTCAAAAAAAAATTACTCCGTATTCTTTGAACAAACTGTTATGCTAACTGGTAGGTTTTTCTTTTTCCAACTGTTAGTTGACGCTTTTACTCCAGACACAAGAAACGAACGCAGTACTCCGTATTAATTTTGCTTGATTAAAAAAATCATAGGCCACAAACACATCAATCATGTGCTTATTAATCCCTGCTGATCCACGCTCCCAACAAATGCTGCAGCTTCATGTTTCACGCCTACTCCCTTCGATTCCCTCCAATAAGGTCTTCCTTCTAGGGCTTTTTTTACAATCTCACAAACATCAAGTTTTCTACTTTCAGAGTATAATTTTCGGACAAAAAGTATGGGTCTTACTCCAGTACATTCAACGTGATATTCGAGTTCTTGAAACGCCCCCAAAATCAAATCTTTCAGATGAACTAATTGGATTAATTTATTAATTTGCAGAGCCTCGCGGAGCAGGGTTTTAGCACAGTTTGCTGATTCATTGGTGGCTAAAGTTTGAGTCTTGTCCAATTTTCTTGGCGTTTTAGAATTTGTTGTCTCAGACGTTATAAGCACGAATTACTGGCACTTTTGTCTGTTTCTTTTCTGAAAGGTACTTGCCTGTTGATGCACTGAATGCTTTACCAGCTTTTGGAGTTTGAGGTGCAGTTCATTCAGGGTTTAATTTTTGTTTGTTTGTTTTTCTTTTTTAGGTCCGTTTGGGTACCACTTTTGAGTTAATTTGTCATCTTGCCGCTGGGAAGGAGTTCTTGAAGGGTTTTTTGAGTTTCAGACTTTCAGTTGTGGTAAAAATTGATTGTTGCCTGGTTAGTTAGATTAACAGTGCATAATATTTGGAGTTTGGATTTTGGTTCGTTCGAGTATTGGAGATCTGTTTGAGTACAATCTTTGAGTAAGTTTGACATATTGGACAGTTGGAGGGAAATATGGAAGCGAGTTTGCGTTTCAGTAGTGGTAACATATGAATGTTCAATGGTCATTATATTAACTATGCATAGTCATGATAATGGTAAAATCTCAAATTTAAAAGATGGAGTTGAAAGCCATACAGTTAAGGAAAGGAATGGCCAGATTAATGTTGCTGACTTGCTGTTTCAAGACGAGGAGGAGGATAAACTTTTCGGTAAACATGTCAATGGGGTTGAAAAGCAAAGTCTATTAAATTTGGATAGTATGTCTGCTGATGAGAATTCAAGTTTTTGTGATGAATTTGATGATAAAGACCATATGTTGGGCATTGTGTCTTCTGACGAGCAGTCTGATGTCCTCTCTGCTCTCAAAGAACACTATGATAGAGGAAATTCACTTCCACATTTGTCAAGTATAAATACTCCCTCGTCGACAGATGTGAGTTTCGGCAAATCGCCTCATGCTGGAGGAGGTTGTCACATCATAATTCGTTATTAATCCTTGCACATTTTTCCCCCTGATGTTGTTTATGATGATTTGAATTTTGAAAGCTTAGAACCATGGTTCAAACATGCTAATACACCTAATTTGCCTTTTCCCTCAAAGTTCCATAGTTTGAATCAAGTACTTCTAGTATTTATGAATAAGTGTCACATTTCATCTTTGCTCACCAATCGAGAAAGACAGTAACCCTTTTTGGTTGAGGGTTTGAAGAGGAGGAGTAGGGTGTGATATTTGTCTTATTAAATTTTCCTTATGTGTAGATTGTTGGAAAAAGACTGACGATGAAAGATTTGATAGAAATATACTTCGTATTATTTAACCAAAAATATAGATATTATCTAATCTAATTTAAGACTAAGAAATGTAGTTAGTTAAAGGTTACTCATTCAGGGAAAGATCAATATAAATTGTCAATTGTATGTTTATTAAATAACAATATCTATGTTAATTTTCAATCAATCTTCAAAACCATAACTCAATTCAGGGAAGAATTCATATAAGTTGTCAAATTTTCCCATTTACGTAGTATTAAATAATGCTCTCTTTCTTAATTTGTCAATTAATGTTTTATAAAACTTCTGACATGACACTTATTTAGGAAGAAAAAAATTTCACCAATACGACACATATTCATAAATGAAGATGTATTTTCTTATGTTGAATGTTACACTCTAGGTTACTAGCTTCTTAGAGTAATCAGAAACTTTATGCTTGAGATGAGGTTTTGTCATCCAAAATTTCCCTGGCCGAGGTTTTCCTTCCTTGTTTGTCTGAATCATGAATTCCCCACTTGCAGATTTGCGGCAGTGTGTTACTGCTCCTGTTTCCAGACATAAAAGTCCCTCCCTTAAAAGTGAAGACTTTGGATCTTCAAGATCTATGTTTGAGAGAAGAAACACGCCAAGGCATGACCTAAGATTAGATAGACTTTCTGAGCGTGAGAAGGTAAAATTGGACCCTTCATCAACTCTCGTTATCCTGTCAAAAGCATTCATAAAAGTGCTTGGCAAACACGAATAAATTTATTCATTTCCCTTTGGACCATGTTTTTTATGCAAAAGTTTATTGTTCTCGATCATTTATTGGGTTTTAGTTAATTAGTTTAATCATTTTCATATTTTCAGCAAAAGCTCATTGTTGAGTTAGTAAGGATTCAAAAGGATGGGACAGTAGAAGTTGATCTGACTAAGAACGAACCTGTAACTTCTGAGTTGTTGGAGCTTCAAACAGTTGAAGAGCTACATCCTGGTGTTGACAGTATCAATACTGGCTTTAATAATTCAGTTCCTAAGCTGCAAATTGCCATGCTTGTAGTGGGGACAAGGGGAGATGTTCAACCATTTCTTGCTATAGCCAGGAGACTACAGGCATGTTTTTTTAAGCCTTTTACACTATCCACCGAAAAATTTAGGTGAAGGCTTATGATACGATCCGGTTTTGTAAAATTTCGATCTACAACGGTGTTTTGGTTATGTAACTTTTTTTTATTGGTTTTAGTGGATATGATAGCTTTTATTGCTTGCATTTTATTGACCCCATATGGTGATGCTTGTTAACAGGACTTTGGTCATTGCGTTAGGCTTGCAACTCATGCAAACTTTCGTGATTTTGTTAAGTCAGCAGGCATTGACTTCTATCCTTTGGGTGGTGACCCCAGGGTTTTGTCAGGATGTAAGAGCATCATTAGCATTCAAGTATTTTATTTTACATTTAACTTAAATATGTAATGTGGTTCCCTGTCTGTGATCCATGTTTTAGTTTCCCAATTTTATATACTTGTTTTCTGTTGTAAACCAAAAACATGCCTCTAAATGTATCTTCTAATTAATATTTTCATTTTGCCCATAAGTTACAACTACATGTGTTTAGAAAAATATATCCAATTGCAGATATGGCCAGAAATAAAGGTCTTGTTCCGTCAGCACCTGGGGAGATTGCAGTTCAAAGAAAACAGTTAAAGGCCATTATTGAATCACTTCTTCCAGCTTGTACAGAACCAGATATTGAAACAGGACAGCCTTTTAGAGTTCAAGCAATCATTGCAAATCCTCCTGCATATGGTAACCAAACTTCTCACTTCTTTGTAGTTACTTGCGCTTGTATTTTTCAGTCCATATTTCTATTCTTTCTGTTATAGGGGGTGGAAAGTTGTAAAGGTAGAGACTACATATTCTCTACTGCAAGTTCTTGTTGGACCCCCTCTCAGAACCACTTTAAAGTTTAAAACATTTAACTTTTCTTTTAATTTTTATAGAATATAGTGAAAGTCATTCTCCAATGAAATAGGAAGGACGATGGTTAGTACTTAGCACTTAATTATAAACTCTTGCATATCACTTCATAAAACTAAGCAATGTGCTTGTTATCTTTGTTGTGAATATTTTCTCAGAATTTAGAACTAAAACGTGAGTGGTACTGTGGTCACATAAACAACGTTCATAATTCTAGCCTGAAAATAAATATATAATTTAGTTATAAAATCCAGTCTTTTCTTGGATTCTTGTTATTAATATAGAGTTCATGAACACTTTCTTTGTGCCTATTGTGGTTAACACTTATTATAATTGATAAGAAGGAAATTGTAATTCAGTTATAGTTAATAAATCTATGGCTACAAGCATTGACTCATTCTGCTTGTCATTTTGAAGGGCATGTACATGTTGCTGAAGCTCTCGAAGTGCCTATTCACATCTTCTTCACAATGCCCTGGACGTGAGTCTTCTCATTCCTTTATTTTTAGATAGCTGCTGCATGTTTTAAAATCCTAACTTCTCTTATTCTTAAATATGCCAACAAAATATTTTAGGAGCAAATTCCACTTTTGGTCCCTGGACTTAGTGACCCTCTCCCTTTTAGTGGTTGATTTTGATATCTTTCACTTGCTGTCACTGTCTTAAAAAACATTCTACTCGTTGTCCAAGTTATCCTTAAATAGAGTAGGATAGTTTTTATATATTCTTTACAATGTGAAAAAATTCCATATAGTTGAACTAAAAGTGAAATGCTTCTAAACTCCAGAACCAAATTGGAAGAATGTCATAATGTGTTCACAGTTCTTGAACTTATCTCCTTAGGGTGATGCCTTACATGTTTCTTGAATAGGCAGGCCAACATATGAGTTTCCTCATCCATTAGCTCGTGTACCCCAGAGTGCTGGATATTGGGTAAGCTTCTAGTGTTTTGTTATAAAAACTGTTTTTGTTATCTAATAACATATCACTACATAATTCAGCTTTCTTATATGGTGGTGGACTTGCTGATATGGTGGGGCATAAGAAGTTATATTAATGACTTCAGGAAAAAGAAGCTTAGTCTTCCCCCAATTGCATATTTCAGTACATACCATGGTTCCATATCTCACCTCCCTACTGGCTATATTTGGAGCCCTCATGTAGTCCCAAAACCACAAGGTAAGTGTGGAACATTGGTTGCTTTTACGATTTTATATATATATATAGAGGAATGATCCTGTCCAGCTGGAGGGACAGAACCCTCCGTCCGGCGGCCACCGTTTGCGGCGGTTCCTAGTGAAGTTTTTTGATGAAATTTTTTGAGCATGTTCCTCATCAAGTCTAGTTTATCCACACAAAAATTCAGCTAAAAATTCCATCGGTAAGGCAGTCAAATAATTTTTTGAAGATAACTGCGCAAAATTATACATATAAAACGCAGTTATATTCAAAAACTTATTTGACTGCCTTCCCGATCGAAATCTTAGCTGAAATGTTTTATGGATAAACTAGACTTGTTGAGGAACATGCTCAAAAATTTCATAAAAAAAATCCACCGGGAACCGCCCCAAACGGCGGCAGCCGGACGGAGGATCCTGTCCCCCCGGCTGGACAGGATCTTTTCCGTGTGTATATACATATAGCTTTTTAATCGTACAAAGTGATTTTTATTGTATTTATGTGCAGATTGGGGCCCGCTTGTTGATGTTGTTGGTTACTGTTTTTTAAACCATGGGTCAAATTACCAGCCTCCTGAAGCATTTGCACTATGGATCCAACAAGGAACGAAACCTATTTATATTGGGTTTGGGAGCATGGTATGTGATCTTTTATCTATGAAATTTCTTTCTGATACAAACATAATTGCTCAGCTTTTTTTGCTCATTTTTTATATTTTGCACACACTGATATTCATTTATTGTTTTAAGCCTCTGGAAGATTCCAAGAAAACCACAAAAGTGATCTTGGAAGCACTTAAAATTACTGGACAGAGAGGAATCATTGACCGTGGTTGGGGAGGTCTTGGAAATTGTAAGTTCTTTCTGTAATCTCGTTGGAGGAATATTTTGACAATTTTGTCAAATAACCATTCTTTGTTCCTCACTTTCAGTTAAGCATTTGATTGCTTACTTTCTAGTTTATCTTGAATATAATAATAATTGATAAATGATATACTTTTTCAGGTCAGGATATCCCTGAAAGTGTTTACCAAATTTCGGATTGCCCTCATGATTGGCTATTTCCTCAATGCGCAGCTGTGGTAAGTTCAGTTTACCTTTAAACAGTTTTTCACATTTCCATGTCTCAGTGCTTGTGCCTTAATTTAATGTTGCCTAAATTTAATGTTATAATAATATTCTTATCGTGGCCCCTCGTACACAGATTCATCATGGTGGTGCTGGAACTACAGCTGCAGGGTTAAGAGCTGGGGTAAAATCATCTCTTCTTTAAATAATGCAGCATAAAGTAAATAGCGGTGATAAATTACAACTGTGCTAAACAATCCAACCACTAAATGCAGTGTCCAACGACTATAGTACCCTTCTTTGGTGATCAATATTTCTGGGGAGACAGGATTCATCAAAAAGGGCTTGGCCCACCTCCTATTCCCATATCGCTCCTTAGCATTGAAACCATTGTTGAGGCCATCAAATTCATGCTACAGCCAGAGGTAATTCAACATGTTCATTGCTAATCCAGCCAACACCGAAGAACTCATAAAATAACAAACATTTAAAGCCTTGAGAAACTCCTATATGCGATTGACCACATAGGGTCGTACTCAAGTTTTCATATTGACTTGTTTCCTTCAAAATAGAACATGTTTCATATTTTGAATACCCTAAAAATGGGTCCGGAACTGGACCAGAACCTTTCTAGTAAAGTGGAACGGGAACCGGATCAGCTATACCCGATCCCGGTTACGGGTAAAGCCTCATTTGGACTCAGAAACAGCCATTCAGAAACAGGCTGGAACAGCTGGATCCATTATTGCCTCTGGCCACTCCCCCTAAGAGATTGATTGTATAGGATGGATCTTGAGATATTGACTTGGTTTGGAGTCAAATATTTTTATATACTTATGTGTATTGATTGGAATCCAGGTGAAATCTTGTGTAATGGAGCTAGCAAAAATGATAGAAAATGAAGATGGAGTTGTGGGGGCTGTCGATGCATTTCATCGTCATTTGCCTAGAGAAATGCCGCTGCCAACCACCACCACCACCATGGTGGCTAGAGAGGAATATGACAGGCCCAATCTTTTGCAATGGCTGTTTATGCGGGTTGGAAGGGTGTGTTCTCTGACTTGTGGTTCTTAAAATAAATGCCTATTATATTGTATTATTTAATTTAATTTATTTGTTGTTTGCCTGTGTTGAGTGTATCATTCATTTTTTTTACCCAATAGGGAATAATGGAATTAGTTAGTTCATATGGGTGATGGGCGTTGATCCTACCCGTCGCCTTATAACGTTACTACATATCGTGTAATGTCAAGTTTTGGCTTTAGTTTTTGTAGTTGCATTTTTTTGCGTACATAAAAGTTCATGGGAGAATTTATGTGTGTACATAAAAGCATTATTATTGATTTTTTTTTAATATGTTGTTTGATGTTTGTATGTTTGGAGATTGCTCTGAGGAAAAGTTATACCCAACGCGGGAGTGATGCAAAACTCAATAAAGAAATTCACCGTGAGCTAATTTCTATTGTCATAGCTATTTTTAATCAGAAATTTGTTATTTGCATCCATGTTTTGCATACATAGTTATACTTCAATTGGATCATATAGATTTAAATAGATCAGATCATATTGCATTTAGTAGTAAACTAAACATATACCGGAGTATTAGACATTTGTCAAACTAAATTTGAATAGATTGGACTAGACTTAAATAAATCGGGTTAAATTTTAAAACTTCAATCCAAGTCAACCTAGGGTTGGGTTATTGTTGCTGAACTGTGGTGTCGCTAGATCGCCAGGTGATTCTCGATGCGATGTTTATAAATTATAAGCACATTGTTGTGGGACAAGTTGAAGTTAGGATGTGTTTGATCGTGGGTTGCTATTTCAATTATGGGATGAAATAAATTTGGGTAATTCCTTTTAGGGATGGACCAGCTTCGGGCAGGGCCGGCCGGCCGGGCTCTGGGCCTGTCCAAATCGGGCTTTTTTGTTGAGGGTTAAGGCTCGAAACTGGCTCGGGATTCCACTGGTTCCGGGCTGGGCCGGGTACATTTTTTTGCTTTTTTAATTAATTCCTACCTCCACCCCCATACCCACACCCAAAACCCCTCCAAAACACCCAACCCGTCTACCACCCAAAGACTTAAAAAAAATGGCCCATGCCGATACCAAAGAAACACCCAGCCCGAGCCCGCCCTCGAAACACCCCCAGGTCGGGTCATTGGCTCGGGCCTGGTTCCGGGCAACCGGACCGGGCCGGGCCGGTCCTGCACAGTGGCGGGCCGGGCCGGGCAGATTGGAACCGGTCCATCCCTAGTTCCTTTGCCCCGGTCAAAGGTTGGCCAACGCTCGATCAATGCCTGGTTTACTGCCCCCTTGGTCAGCCTTTTCTTTCTAATTTAGTCCAGCCCGAATAGTCTGTCCGGCCTAAGGTAATTCTGCAGCCCAAATAGTCTTGTCCAGTCCACTAGGATTTCACAAACTTGCGTTGTAATCGGTAAACCGTAAACATGTAAAAATGTAAAATTAAATATTGATACAAACGTAACATGAGATGCAAATACTACACTTTTCTAAGTTAGTTTCTCCATAGATAAGTAATTAAACGAAAACATATATACAATACAATATATACTCAATATAATTTATTTCCTACGCAAAATAAAGTGAGTAGGATTTAATAAAAAATTGGAATTTCATTAAAAAATTATTAGAAATTGCTCTGAATATGAGTACAAACGTTTTAAAATTTTAAAATAGGACTTTCATGTTTTTATTTCCTAAATAGAAGTAATTTTTGTCATGTTTGAAAAAAACTACCAGGTTTAAATCATGGTAATGTCAAATTTGGTAGAAATTACTTGTATTTAGGAAATAAAAACATTAAATCGTTATTTTGGAATTTCAAAACATTTTTACTCCTATTTAAAGAATTTTACCAAAAATTTTTAGGCTCACATTTACGTATTGATTTCAGGACCAACAACGACAAGAGCTGCATCATCCTTTACTGACTACTTGCCCAATAATTTTTAATTATGTATGAGTAATTTCTTGTTACAAAGTTACACATATAGTTCGTATTACTACATATATAACAAAATGCCTTTGTAACGATTTCAATGTAAGCTTTTGAGAAATTTCTTTAAACACGGGAATGTAAGCTTTTGAGAAACATATGTACAAAGTAATACTCTCTCCGTCCTTCAAACTTTACTAATTCTTTTTATTTAGTCCTCTCAGTTCAAATTACTTTTTTATTTTTATTTAAGGTGACAAATTCGTCTATAATTTCTTTCCTCTAAATGAATTTATACACAAGATTTTACTTTATTAGTCCACATGTAAGTCAACTTTTGTCAAGTTTTCAGGATGAAGGGAATTATTTGTATCCAGAAAATTTGAGATATGAATGACCTCAAAGAGGATGAAAATATTTCTAAGTTGGCAATGAGGTGATATTGTAATATGGAAACATTTCATGTTAACTACGAGAAGATATTGTATTGATTCGCCTACGATCTAGTTGATTTGTATTCCTTGTTCAATTTATTTAGATTTATCTTTGTCTATTAGATTTAATTAATTAGTGGGCTATTAAATTAATTAGGGATCATTTAACTATATTAATCAGGTCTATCCTATTGTAACTAGGATGTTCTGCCATATGCTTATAAATAAAGGCAGTATGGACCGAACAACCTAAGAGAGTTCCCGATTCCTAAATTGCCTCACACATCATTCTTGAAAGTCTCGCATTAGAATACAAAGAGGAAGACTCTACACAATTTATTCCACACCTATTATTCTTGTATAACACCTCTAGTTTTCTCTCTCAACAATTCATACGTCTATCATGATATATTCTTATATCATTATCAATCTACGATATTGATGAATTATTCTTCTTCTACTCAATTTTTCCATATTATTGCATAGTAATTAATCAACGGTTGATCTGAGATCTCACACACTAAGTGAAGTTGTGAATAGAGCAGCCCCGCATTCTTGTTCCAATCCCAGTACAATTGCCTCGTTTTCATATAGTATTTAATAACATTAGAATCTTATATGTAGAGAAAAGATCCTGTCAAGCGCGCCTGACAGGGAGTGGTGTGCGGACTTGCCGTTTGAGAGCCTTATTGGTGGTTTTTTTTAATGAATTTTTTAAGCATCTTCCTCATCAAGTCTAGTTTATACTCACCAATTTTCAGCTCAAAATTCAATGAAAAAGATCGTTAAATAAATTCTTGAAACATACTGTGCATTATGTGCACATATAAAGCGCAATATGTTTGAAGAACTTATTTAATTGTCTTCCCGATTGAATTTTGAACTGAAATTTTGGTGTGTATAAACTGGACTTGATGAGAAACATGCTAAAAAAATTCCACCGTGAAGGACCACCGTGAAGGACCACAAAAGGTGGATCTAGTCAAGCGCATCTGACCAGATCTATTTCCTTATATGTATGTGCTATGATATAATTCTATTCTCCAATTAAACATCTCTGGCTAATAATGACAATTGTACCACCTCCGCACTTTAAAATTATACACACCTCTTATTGTCTGTGAACACAAACAATTATTTTTAAAAAAACTCAATGAATTGTATGGGTACACAGACAATGTACAACTTGTATACAAATTTGTGTACAAGAAGAATTACCTCCATTAATAGGCTTGACCCACATCCTATCCAATATGCTTCTTAATATCCATTATTAGACGGATCAAACATTCAAACATAGTGAATATTGATAATGGGATTAAATTTTTGTCTTATACTCTTATTCACCTTAAAATGTTATGCATCCCATGTATAGGAAAGGTAAACAATGAATATATTCACTTGTGTAGTGGAATATTCATCTCAACTTAATTACCTTTTGAGTTTTGAGGGAAACTTGTCCGACTGAGAGAAGAGAGGATAGAGAAGAGCAAAGTTTAGGGATCATCATTGGACTGAATGTCTAAATTAGGCCACAATAGTCCAAAATGAATGGGTTCGGCCAGGATCTGGTTCGGCTCAATATACAAAAAATAATTAATTGACCGAGTGAAATCAGGCTTTTGTAATCACTAAACACGTAACATTTTATTTCGCGCGTTGAATAAAGTAATAATAAGAAAAAGTGAGATCGAAGTTACTTTTCTAGCTGTATTGGCTAAAGTTACTATAGATGACCCTTTTAGCCGTTTTTTCATATAATTTTTTCTATATTTTATTAATAAAATATATTTTAAATCTAATTTTTTCATAAATCAGCCAATACAACCAGAACTTCATAAAATTTCAGCAGAATCAACCGATTCAGCCGATTTAGATGTTACCGAACAGGCTCTAAATATGTTGGCTTAAGGGGTCAGGCTGGCCTGACCCACATGTCACAAATAGGGCTGGATCTAGGTGAGTTTTTAAGAAAAATATAAAAATTCTTCATGCATTACAAAATACAATGTAGTCAATTAAATTAGTCAAAAGAATTTATTACTCCCAAAATGTACTACACTTATTGAAAAAGAGATGTACAAATACTGAAATCCCATACTTATTCTTCTTTATCTAACAATCATCCACAACTTCATTCCCCACTACCATTACTCATTATTTTTATGTCATAGAATCCGAAATTAGTATATACAATTAATAAATGTATAAAACGGCTTCTGCCTGGCCTCGGTTAGGCTTAGAGAGTTAGAGGGTTGGACATGGATGGGTGTTGGCGGGGCCGAGCGGCCCGAGTTCCAAATACTGTCCACCCCTTCAAATAGTGGGCTAGGTCGGTCCGTAACTTTTATGTGCCGGACTGGGCTTTTTGGAAAATGGAATGGATAGTCTCCTACAAGATCGTTATGAGTTCACGCGTAGGGGAGAGCAAACCCGACCCTACCCGATTGACCCGATCGGATATATCTGATTTTCTTTTTGTTGGGGTCGGAAAACCCGACCCGAAATACTCAAACCCGATCCGATTTTTTGCAACCCGAGATTTAAGCGGGTAGCGGGTAGGGTTACCAATTATGCTACTCGATCTGCCCGAAAAACCGAACTAGCATAGTATATATACTACTTTAAATTATTATGCATGTTCAAATATCTCAATTATTATATGTCAATTACCATATTGTGCATGTTCAAATATTCCAATTATCGTATTTGTACAACTATAACTTTGAATGTTGTATTGTTATGACTTTGAATGATATTTTAACCAATTATCATTTTATTTATCACAATATCAATTATGTCAATCACCGTATATTATTATTTTACATGTTCAAATATGTCGATTAATGTATTTATACAACTATTACTTTGAATGATATACTAATATAACTTTGAATGATATTTTTACAAATTACCATTATATTTATCACAATTTCAACAATAATAAATTAAAATCCGAATGGACCCGAAACCCGAATCAACCCGACCGCAACCCGAATTTCTTCAACCCGAAAAAATTGATAAATTTTTTGATAGGGTAGGGTTTGAAATTATCAATCCGATATCCAAACGGATTTATCATTTTTGAACCCGACCCGCCCGAACCCGACCCGTGCTCTGTCCTATTCACGGGCTAAATGATGATCTCTATAGCCGTGTAAGCTATTTCAGCATGCAAGCGACATGAACTTAATGAAATCAAGTTTACTGTCCTAATTTCTTAAAAAATCCAAACTAATGTTTTTACATAATGGGCAGTTTTATAAAAATTGTTGTTCGCTCCAAAAGTCAATTTTTATAACTTAATAATTGCACAAATATTCCTTCCCTAGCTACAGATAACATGAGGCTAGATAAGGCCTAAATGGCCAGATCCTTCAATTTCAATCTAAATTATTATGTGGTCCGATCCTAATTGGCCCTAAACAAATTAATGCCTGTTTCGCACCTAATACAAGTAGGAGTTATGGAATTTATACCATTATTGATTATTGATCGGCTATAAATAGCAGGCTAGAGGTAGCAGCATTACAACCATTTCTACTTCCTATCTGATTTAAAGCAATCAAACTAAAGTTTGAACCACCATGGCCGAGGAGAAACACCACCACTTCTCCCACCACCACAAGGCGGAGGAAGAAGGCCCCATTGACTACAAGAAAGAAGAGAAACAACACAAACATCTTGAGCACGTCGGCGAGCTCGGCGTGGCTGCCGCCGGAGCTTTTGCCTTGGTGAGTTGTTAAATTCCCGGCCACTATTTTTCTGCCCATTTTAATATTTTATCCAAATTACCTATATCAAGAAATTAAAACTATTTATAGTTTTAATATCATCAAACACGTAATTTTTAATTTCACGTGCTTAATTGAGTAATAATAAGAAAAAGTAAGGTTGAAGTTACTTTTCTGGCTGTATTGGCTGAAGTTACTGTAGAGGATCATTTTAGCTATT